TGCTTGCAAAGGCACAGCCACTGTCTTTCACGAGGCTTGGGGATCACTCCCCTTGCCTGTGTCTGTGCCCTGATGGGTGCCTTCCCACCCTCTTGCTGCCACAGGATTTTTGCATCACAGCCAGGCTGAAACCATTGCCTTGTCCCCCTGTCCCAACTTAACAGTGCCTGTATGCAAAGTCTGTTTTCTGCTTGAGAAAGCATGTCCCCAGAGATACAGAATTAATCTCAGTGACTTCAAACTCAGTCTCATAGACCAGTCATCTGATAATGAACCAAAGGATTGTCCAGATTTACATCTGAAGTTCCCACACTTCTCCATTGCAGCCGAATTCCACAAGAGTATTTGCCGACCTTTTAGCGCGCAGCTTCTCATCACACTGCACCTCAGAACACTGTTCTTTAGCAAAGGTCTTTATTAAGGAGAATTAATTAACTAGGTTTGCTGTCTGGATAATCAATTTTCTTGGTATAAATTGAGTGGAGTTGGAAGAACGCTGAGCTGTTGCTCCTCTGATTTCCCCACACAGAGAATAAAAATAGTAGAAGATCCAGATGGAGAAATTGGGTTGGGATCAGATTCCTTCTGAATACAGAGTTTTGGCAACCTCAGAAAATGGGGTGAACATTGCTGGGATATAATTTCCTAAGTGCACTGGGAAAGTTAATGTCAAAATGTCTCTAAATCTCTGATTTAGAGATCTTTGAAGGAAAGGGAAATGTTTCATTCTGAAGAAACTTTCCATTTAGACATTGAAAGAAAGGCAAAATCAAGGGCAAAAATCTGACTGAAATGTTTTAATTGTGTTTGAAAAACAAACGCAGTAAACAGGTTTAGTTTGTTTGGGGTTTTTTTGGTGGGTATGTTTTTAAATTTTTCTCTATGGAGCAGTTTAACAACCTGGTGTCTCTCAGCTATGTGTGGAGTACTCCTCCCCACCCCTTCCACTCTAGTAGCAGTTTTTGCTGCCTTTTGATCCCAAAATCCTGCCAAGTTTTGTGTTTGTCTACCTTAATCCTGCCAGTGTTTTCTAGCTCTGGTATTCAGCAAAATGTGCTCCACCTAATGACCCCACAGACGATTGGCACCCACAACACTAGACTACAACTTTAAGCTGAAGAAAACCCTCTGGGCTTTATGAAGAAGTTATCTCTCTGTTTTTAATTTGTGTTGTAATTTTTTATATGATGGTGGATACACTTTCCTAGCAATCAGATGCTTCCTTTAATTGGCATGTTGCCCCTTGCCTCCTAAATGACTGATTTGACTACTAATTGACTACAGACTCTGTGATTTATTTTTCATCTCTTTTATTGCAGGCATGAATACAGGAACAGGTAAACAGCGGAGCCGTAAAAGTTTCTCTTTAGGCGTGTTTTCAACAAAATGCCATCATACACTGTCTGATGATACACGCTGCTACTCAGGTGAAACAAAATGGTGTGAGCAGTCTTGCTTTAAAGCTGCTACCCACCACTGCATGCTGCAGCTGCCAAAGAAGCCTCCACTCACTCTATATCTTCCCTCCTTCTCCACATCATCTACAGCTTCTTTTACGGCACTTAACTTTACAAAACACAGTTGTGAGGCTAATCTTACATGCAATTACAGATCAGTCTCAGTATATTTATTGCAAACTCCTTGAACATCAGGACATTAAAGAAAAAAAAGAAAAGAAAAAAAAGAAAAAATATTCCATTGCATAATTACAAGTAGGTTTTTTTGTAGCAAATGAACCAGAATTGTATTCAAGAAAAAAATAAATAAAAGCAAAGGCTATTTGTAAACAGTTCAAACAAAACATGATGCTGCCTCCAATGAAACGTTTCACTGCATTGCTAGCTCTGTTTCAAATGGGCACGTAGGCATCCTGTTGCAAGAGAGTGAAGCCATGAACTGAAACTTTGGAGGAGTTAATTTTCAAATTTTGCACTTTCAGGGTCTATGAAACATGAAAAGTCTGCACACATGATGGGATCTGAGAGAGGTGCGGAATCTCAACCAACATTTCTAAAGAAAACTCAGTTATTCCTTTTAAAACAAAATAGTGGAAACAGCTGAGCCACACAAAAAAAAACAAAGCACAATTGGTTGGCTTCCATAAGAGACTGCAAAATGAGAAAATATTTAACTCCTTGCATAGCTATTTAAATGGCCAATAAATTTTGCTGGAATCACCCAAACATGACAACATTGCATTCCGCTGCTTAGAGACTTGGTGCTGAAAAGCTGGGATCTGCTGATGGGGCCGGAGCATCACTCGGGGCACTGTGAAAAGCCAGGGCCACCCCTGGTGAGCTTTGCCAGCGTGGCTATAGCAGGAGGTTTCATCAACTCCCAGATGGAGCATGACTACAGCAAAGCCTCTGCACTTACATCACTGTAGGTTGTTATCCCAGCTCTCTGTTCTGAGAAAAGGATGTTTCTGGAAGTTTATTTACACCTAACGCTCAAGGCTTTCACTGGCACAGGTATGCTGATCCCAAATCATACCTTGAAGCTGAACCCTGGATGATGCAGCTGAGTCAGCAAGGGTTTGCAATGTAGACCTAGCCAGAGGGAGGGAAAGCAGGATTCATCTCACTTAACTTTAGTCAGTATATATACTTAACGTAGACACTTGAATCAGAGGCACCTCTGGAAGACAGATCTTTTGATCTCTCACCAGGTGAGAGCTGGACATTTTAATGTTAGATGAGATGAACCCTTTCCCAGGAGAGCTGAAGAGACAAAATCCTTTCAGCCACCCTCTTCTGTCACCAGTTCTGGAGCCCATGCTTCAGAAGGCTGCTGTTCAAATGCGTTATCTTTACACATGTCAATGTACATGATAATGATAGCCTGTGCTGGGCTTCATGCTGCCACAACTACAAATGCAAGCTTAAAGCTAGCTCAGATACTTCTGCACTATTATATAGACATACCTCCAGGCAGAGTATCCTTTAACACCTGTAAAGTTAAATTGTAGGAGCAAATCTGCAATATCTGCCCCTCTGCAATATGTTCATGTTGACATTGTCTTGTTCACAGCAGTTTTGGGTAACAGGTGTCCTAACACTGTAATTCCCAACCAGAGATGAGGCAGAAGTGTTTCTTCAGAGGATGTGAAAACTGAGACGCTCAAGCATGGCTGAAGAAGGTACGTAGTAAGAAAGAACAAGATGATGACATTCCACAGTTAAAAGTTTAGTTTGATTTCAGTAAAACAGTTTTAATAAAGCTCCATTAGACTGCAGAATAGGAAACAGTGGCAGCCAGTGGATAAGACACTAAAACACAACAAGGCAACATACTTAGAGTTGTTCTGTAGAAAATGTCCCACAAAAACTAAGCAGCCACCTGAGCCTTTCCCTCTTCTCCTGGTGGGAACCACAGAAGGAGGAATCTCTGCCCTTCTTCAGCTATCCCAGAGCATGCCTCAGCTCATATAAAGTAACCTTGGTTCACGTTGCTTCTTTTCTGGTTCTGATTATTTCAGCTGAAGAAATTTTATACAATGGGAGCAAAAATTATGCATTAAAAACAATACTGTTTTAGATTGTTTATGAGCCAAAATATCTTATAGGCCAGTCTGACTCAGGCATTCAGTTTTGCAAAAGGCTTTTGCTTTAAGTGACCAGACAGTCCTAACGTGGATCTGTTTTGCCCCCAAACCTGAGGGCATATTGTGGGGTTCCTAAAGTCCACTGCATCTATCAGTATGACTGAAGGGTGTGTTCAGATTTTTTTCTGTTTGTTTGGTTGGGGTTTTCTTTCTGAGTTTTCTTTGACAATGACTTTGTGAAACTGTTGCCAGTTCAAACACAACTGAGTGTTATCTAACAGGCAGAAAACCAGATTGAGGTAGTCAGCACTGTGCCATTCTCAACCTTACTTCCTTCTCCTCTCCTAAACCAGCATTTCTAGTTACAATTTTCTTTTATTTGTTCTTCAAAATGCTCACTCTCCTTGGACACAGGCAAAATGTGCTGCTGCTTCTCCCTCACCAATACCTTCTGGGAAGTGGTGGGAAAAGAGTAACAGGAAATTGCATTCTTTTGTGTCTGTGCATTTTCCCCTCCTTTCCGATTTTCTCACAGGGATTTAATGTTCCTAATAAATTTTTAAGAACCCTGGATTGATGGACTGGGGCATTAAAAAAAAAGGAACAGAAGTGCCCCGGCACTACAGCTAGCAGGTGGACATCATACAAGTCATATCTGATTACCCAGAAGAGCCACTGGAATGCTCTTAAATCTACAGTCCAGGTGTGGTTTTGTGGCTTCTTGTGCCCACTGCTCATGTTGAGCCACTTGATTAAATTTTGTAATGTGATTTTCTACCTAACAGTTGTGCTGTGTATTTTGACCCAATTTATGGCAACCAGAAAGTGTTGTGCTTGGTGGATTTAAATGGGAAGCCCAATGCTAATTTTTTGTCCCAGCAAATATAAAATAGACAAGTCATTTTATACCTTCACACTGCAATCGAGTCTTACGAAGCTCTCTAAAACTCTCATTTTAGAAAAATAGCAGAAGCTAACTCTGAAGGAAATCCAATCTCACAGCAATCACTTCTCAGCCTCCACACAAACTGCTTAAGCTGATATAAAGCCATTGTAATCAGTGCCAAATGAAGGGCAATATTTTATCTTAATACAAATAAGAGAACATAGTGTACAGAGTAACAGAAAATTATACATCTTCAGCCATACAAAATGCACAAAACCTTTCCTGTTGAAAGAGTACCTTGTAGCCGACAGTCAGATATTGTTAGTTTTCTAGATGACCCTGCACTACTGAACAAGGGGAAACTGAGACCTTTTTTTTCCTTAGGAGATAGTTGGTAGCATTACCTGTATCCCATCAATTCCCTCCCTGTGGCTGTGGCTCTGCTAGTGTTGGACTACCCACCCCACTTCATGCCTGAGATAGCTCCACTGGATGTGGAGGCTGCTTGGTTGTTGGAGGTGAACAGGATCTATAGCCCTGCATAGGATTGCTGGGCCATACACACTGATTAACAGAATTAAAAATATGGGTATAGGCACAGCTATGCCTCAAAAGATCATCGTTCTTGTTCTTGAAGGGGACCAATCAATTCATGTCAGCCAGGAAGGTGTTTTTTTACCGAGGAAGTAAAAAAAATCTCCTTGTGTGAGCTACATCCACACTGCTGAGGCTCTGCAACCTTCAGTGCTGGGGCAGAAGATGTCTGAGCGTGGGCTAGCCTTAAAGCCTAGGCAAACTGGAGAAGGTAAAGCTCCTCACTTGCTTTAAAAAAGTCAGTATCAAGCTAGAAATTCAGTAGCAAATTACTTTAAACAACGGATTTTTTTCATACATTAATGGAAATACGGTAAGATTTTGTTGAAGGTTTAGGTCAAGGTGATAAGCTATAGGAAGTATTGGGTGTGTGTATCTGTGTGGTGGGGTGTCTCTCCCAGTTGCAGCTATTTATATCTCTGAGGGAAGGTTAAGGTTAGGAATTTAATAAGACAGCCGTTTATTCTGTGGAGACTAACAGTCCTGGGGTTAGGATGTAATAATCATTCTTCTGCTTTAAAAATGGTTCTCTTAACAAATAGCAGTAGCTCATTGCAATTTTCAGTTGTACAAAATGACATATTTTCTATGTTACTATCAAAATATTCTGCATAACATTAATTTCTGTGCACTTATTAACATATGTACAGAACAGTGTTTCCCAATAGAAATCAGTATGCTCCTTGCTGATCCTCTTTGCCCTAGATTTACCAAAACCAAACCAGAAATTAATTGTGTTAATAGTATAAAATCTCAGGAGAGAGAAAGGATTGAAGGTTTATTTCCCAGCAGCAAATGAATAAAGGAACTCCTTCAAGTCAAAGTCTAGCCAAGACGTAATTTTAACCAACGGCAGTGAATCCAGGCGAGCCAGGAATATCACACATTTTCCCGATGCATTATGTTGAGTACACAGAAGCAGAGGAATGTAAACAGACAGAAGGCACATGAAAGGCCCCAATCCATTCTCCATCTGACGGAAGTGCGAGTTTCATAATTCTGTCATCAAGAGTCTTTTCATCATTTTCTCTCTCTCAAGTTCACGCCTCAGAGTCTCAGCACTGTGTAATTAATGCACAAACAGCCAATTATGGGAACAACAATAAGTCTCAGATTTCAATTTAAAATAATTAACATTTTCAAAATATCAAAGGAGGGGGAATAAAGGTCAGACACAATTCAGTGAAAAAGCTGATAACCGATGGCTGATTCAAAAACAAGTATCGCTTGATATTTCTGAGGAGCAAACAGAGGCAAGAAGAAGGATATAAAAAGATCCACATGGCAAAACAGTTTATAATTTTATCTAACCCTCATTAAAGGCTACTGATTTCAAAGGAAGCTGGACAAGGACTCTAAAACTGGAGCAGCTACAGCAAATGCCATTATGATCGACTACTGTGACAGCCTTCTGCTCCTTGGTGTGATCTGATATTGAGGGATATCTATATACATAGATTTATAGCTACGCTGAATTTACCACAATCCTGCACATAGCAGGATGCCATAATCAGAGCCTGAGGTCCTTGCTCTCACCAATTCACCCCAGAGCCTAGAGGATTTGTAACCCTGGGAAGGTCCTGGTTTAGTGACTCAATTTCTGATATTGTTTACTATGCTGTTCTGAAATTTATGTATCTCACACTTGTAACAGTTTAGAGATTTAAACAGCATTGCAGAAACCTTGCAGCCCATTTGTGGACAAGCAGGGGTAGAATCACCCACTTGTGCATGAGACATCTTACAGAAGCTGAGTTCAGCACTACAGCTTCAGAATTACTTTTTCACTGGAATGATAATTTTTTAGATGAGTAAGCAATGTTGAATTAATGTGCAGGTGCAATTAACCAGCTGCAAAAAATAATTAACAACCAAAAATGGGAAACGACTGTGAATCCAAAAGCATAAAAGATTCATTCATTATGATGTCAAAGAAATACTTTTTTCTTCACAAGCCTTGAATTATTTGTGCTCCAGAAGTACTGACTATATTCACTGCTACATTTATATTCAGTAAATTATCAGCTTGAGTTCAGTTTTGATTAAATTATAGAATAAGAAGCCAGCATGCAAAACCAGTAGGATGAAAGAATAGAAAACTGAAAAGAGTCTGTCTGTAAAAAGGTGGTATAGCTTGTTGATTCTCTGAGAAATTACAAGACCACTATAGCTTGATATTACTAAATTAGAAAAAAAAAAAAAAGAGAAAGAGGAACAAGAAAGAAAACCAATGCCTGTTTTTTATTTAGAAGAACAGACATTTCTCAAACTCAGGTTTGGACATTTCATGGACAATAATTTCAAAAAACAAATTGTAACAGCAGTTATTAAAACAAAAGTTTTGTGGTTCAGACAAAATGACTTGCCTGAGGAAAAATCTGCACAATCCTTTGTCTCCAGGCCATTGGTCGCAGAAATGGTACACTGCTGGCTGCAGCAGTTAATTAAGGTAGGCTTTTTTTTTATATCAGATCATGAGTATCAGTTACAGATATTTCTTTGCATAACCCACCTATTCTGAAGCAGTCAAGCAAAAATCTTTCAGTATAAGAGAAAATGACACTTTATGGTAATTATGACAGAAAAAGGGAAATCAAGCTGATTCCTTCAATGCAGAAAACATCATAGCATTTCTGTGAAAGAACTGCACGGTACCTGTCTGCCAGCGAAATGGGCTTATGCGACGTATATACTGTCTGCACTGTTGGAGTCGGGATGGTCTCTGCCAGAGACCTCAGCACGGGTGATGGAGACACCAGTGTAATCTTAGGAGACGACTGCACCGCACAGCATTGTATTTTGCTGTCTGCAAATTCTGCCTACAAAAAAAAAAAAAAAAAAAAGTAGACACACACACAGAATGAAAAATTGTAGATTAGCTTCTGCTGGTCTCGCCGTCCTTCACTATCCAATTCATTGCCAAGCATACAGTAACAGCAACTAAGAATGAGAAAAAATGGGAGGCTGTGGCTATAACCTCTCAGTGCAGCCTCTGCAGAGGCTCCACAGCCACCTCTTTTGATGCCTGAGGGACCAGCCTGATTGCATCGTGTACTGAGTGAGGTGACACCTATGGGACTGGCAGCATTCAGGTAAAATCATGATCAGTTTGGAGAATGACACTTATCATTATTGTATTTCCCCTAAAAATTATGCAGAATGTTGACAACATGAGATTTCTGGAATATCCTGCAGGAATCCTATACAATTTACTGGTGAGTCCTCTAACTACTCTGTTTTGTTAACAGCTGGGGATTTGGGGTTTTAGGATTAGGTTTCAAAATCTCCATCTCTTTCCCACTTTTGCTAACTGAAACATGCCTCAAGAGAATTTTTCTTTCAGTATCCAATGAAAAGCAATGTTAAAGCAATATTGGAAGTGCAGATTTAAGACAAGCAGCAAGCAACCATCTCCTGTCTTTTAGATGAGGTATTTCAGCACAACAATATTACAGCAAAGACAGGGCTATTTTTACAACCAGAACGGGAAGATCCCTAAAAATCAAACAGTCCTGTCTTGTTTTTTGGTGTGGGCTATTTCTTATGCCAAACCAGAGCAGCTAGTGGCTGTGGTGCAGGTCTGACCCTCACCTGGGAAGAATACAAAGCAACTGTAATTGTCAGTGTGTCAGGATCATTAAAACATGCTCCTACTGGTATCTATAGCCTACCTTTCTTCCTTGGTGACTATTTCCTCTGAACCTGGCTCAGAGTCTAAGGCAGGGAGGAGGAAAAGTCATCATCATAAGAAAGCAGCTATTTCAAGAGCAACGTTTTTTTTTTTTTTTTTATCTAATTATTTCTCAAATTCTGCAACCCTCTGCAAGTGATTCACAAACTTTGTTCAAACAGTGGGAAAACTATTTGAGCCCAGGAAAGACTGGCTGTGTTAGGTTTGCTTGCATATTGTTGCTTTTTAACATGTTTAAACATATCTCGAATGATCCAAAATAATCTCTGAAGCAAAAGGAATTCCACTAATTCCACAAAATGTAAAATGGAAAAATGGAAAATCAACAAAAGAAACTCTCATGTGTTTCTTTAAACATGTAAATAATGGCTAATAGGACCTGTTCAAAATTCTATGTAATTCAACTTTTAAAACTCAACCTTACAAAATGCAGGGGTATGAAATTTGGTGTCCCTGTGCTCTGAGGACTGCCAGATTCTACCCTATGGCATGAGAAGAAGACATCACTCTGAAGCTGATGTAAATTCTGCCAGCCTCACTGAAATCAGCAGAGTGATGACAAGCTACATTTGCTGAAGAACTGCCTTGAGTCCCATAGTGTGTCTGCTCTGGATGATGATTTTACGGTAGATATCCAAAGCATCTTTTTATACATATGTCTGATTGCACACTTAAGCCAAATATTCAACTGGTCTAAACAGATATAATTTCACTAATTTAAATCTATGTGGCTTACACATGCCTGAGATTATGGCCATCATACCTGCCATTTTTCTATGGAAATCTCTGAAATTCAGAGGGTTCCTGAGTTGAAGCTTATATTTAAACATTACAGGTAACCAAGTCATCTAATTTTTCATCTGATCAAATCAACAGAACTGCACATACACCACCAAATTTGGAGCTGTACGTGAAAGGTAAAGCCTTCTAAACATCACTATACATAATCCTTTTCCTGCTCAATAACATTCCAATGTTTTCGTCCCAGTGGGGAGAAAAATAAAAGAAAAAAAAAAAGTGGAGGGTAAGGGGAAACAAGGACAGAAAAAAATAAAATATAAAAATGAAACAATTACCAAATATTACCATCTGGGTCTGCATGTGAGTGGAGACCAATCAGAGTTAGATCTTCCTGCAAGCCCTAGCTACCCTTCCCTTAGAGCTCCTGCCTGCGGTGTAGCTCTCTTCAGGCCCTCAGCAGTGCATCAGGATGATCTGAAATGCTGCAGTGGAGAGACACCTCCCTTTGGGATGGGACAGAGGGCTGTGAAACACCAGACCAAAGCCACCTAACTCTCCTAATTGTTTTCCTATCTCTGTGTAGTCCCATGGGTAGCTGCTTGTTCACCACAGATATTTGTACATAACTCACTAAAAGAAATGTACAGGGTCACATGAGGGATAATACATCATTTGGTTTTTATTGCAATGGTATTTTAAATATTTGTGGTCTCAGTTTTTCTCTCCACCCTGCCCAGGGAAATGGGAATCTATGGGGACAAGATGGGATTTCAGAAAGATTAGTTTGAATTTTGCTTTGCTTCTTTTCTTCTGACAGAACATAACAAAAATTCAACATTTAAATTTGCCATGAAATAGCCATTCTCTGCAATATGGAAATTTCTGTGGGTAAGTATATCAGTATATCTTCTGTTTGTATTTTAGAGTTCTGACCCCCCAATTATGAAAATGTATGTTATACAGCCTTCCTAAATTTTGCTTTCATCCTAACCATCAGGGACAAAAAAATAATATCTGACAATTAATACTAATTAGTGAGAAAGCTATTTTGGGAGGCACATAATTTTGCTTAGATAAAGGAGTACTGTGAAAGACACAAGCACTGTAACTTTGGGTCAGCTTTTATCAAAATTTTATGGTCTGGACTTGCTGACATAATGAAACATTGATGTGACATTCCTGTGTACTTTCAAATACATTTAATTAGAGCTCAACTGTGGCACTTACACTGCTTGGGAAGCCTAACTAACTCTGGCTTTAAAGTACCTATTTGGAGAAAAAACACATTTACATAAAAGCCCATGATCAGGTTTATTGTGAAAGAAAAGTCTCTTTCTTTAAATCATTAAATACAGACAGAACCTTCACATGAAGTAATTTATCTTGGATTATATACCAGATATAGATTGCTGCAACCAGTAAAATTTAAAGTCAAAGTCTGAAATGCTTCATTTTGCAAATGATACTTTAAAATTATGAATCATTTTACATGGTGTTTATAACCAGAGTGTTTCTTAAAGAGTAGTCATTTTGTCATGCTTTTTCGGTCATACTTATTACATAATGCCTCTGCCACCAAAGCAAGATTTTAAACATACTTACTTTTTAAATTGTCAGATAATTGTTTTCTATTTGTACATAGTTTATCTCACCAAAATCCCTAAGTCATGTCTTCTGTGAATATTTAACAAGAATGAAGTTTAATATTGGATTCAAGTTCTTGGGTAAACATGGGAGTTTGTACAAGGATACCACTGTAGTCATCCACACACCAACTATAATTCTTTAAAGTTCAGTTGTACATTCAATGAAAATCAGGGCCCTCTTTGTGATGGCACAGCAGATGTTTTCAGGCAGGAGGCCATGCAATTGCTGGACAGAGGACTAAATCTTCCCATTCCCTTACAGCTCCCTGTAAAGATGTCATGGAGCTTCACCTCTACAGTCCTGAAATGTGCAACATTTTGAGACTGACTTCATTGGTGGTGAACCTTGACCTTTAACTTTTAGTCCTCTGTCTATTAAGCAGCAATGTCTGAATGCAGGCAACATTTTGTATAATGGGAATATTTAACTGCTTTGTACTCTTAATTTCTACTTGGAATTTATCTTTTTTTTAAATTTTTTTGAGGACTGCTTAGTGCATAGATTTCTGACACTTTAAAAAATCAGTTGGAATTGTGTTAAAACACAGTTTTTTATTTGCACATTCTACTTACAGAAAACTGTGGTACTGTTGTAAAGGGATCGAAAAAAGGATTAGATGTATCAGCAGGGAATGTCTTTATCTTTAAAAAAGATAAAGAAAAAGATGTTACTTTCAGAGCATAAAAATGCAAAAGAAAAAAAAAAGCAGCAAAGCATTGCAACTACAGTGACATATCCAACAAATCAGAGCAGTTCAGCAGTGCTTGGACCAGACCCAAAAAAGACCCTTCCAAAAATGCATACAGAAACCTGATGATGAATAGTCAAAGCATAAATATGAAAACTTGATAAATTAATTTTACCATGTAATTAAATATGTTGAGCAAATACAGAGCTGGTTGCATACAATATATCTTCCAATTCTGTCGCCAGAATTATTATGTGATTCTTTCAGCCAGCACTACACTTTAAGATATGCAATATGAAGTGCAGGAGCAAATTTTGCTGTACAGGAACTTTGGGTAAAGAACTTGTGCTTTAAATATTTCAGACTTCCAAATTTTCACTTACACTGCTGCTACCAAAGACAAACAATCACCCAAGGTGGGATCAAAAGAAAATCATATATTAAAAAACCATGGGGACAGCTGTTTGTTTCAGGCAGCTAGGATGCTCTGTGTTGAGTAGAGGGCTGTGGGTAAAGAATAATCCTTGGAGGTTTTTTGAAAAGTGCATGGAAACAAAGAGGGGAGAGACCAACATATGCATCTGCTGAGAGGGCTTGGTCCATGAGGATATAGTCACTGGTGTGACCAGACCCTGCTGGAAATCACTTCTGCCCTTAACGTAGTTTTAAACATTAGCTGAAATTAAAAATATATTAAAAGCAGCAACAATCTCTGTCCCACTTCATTGTGAATGCTGTTTTTCATTATTTTCCTTTTTAGAATGCAGACATTATTATTCATTAATTCACAGAGGACAAAATAGCAAATAAACATTTGAATTTGAACTGCACTTCATGCTTTCCCTTTGGAAAATTACATTTTTCACTGTAAAGGTGTGTTTTTCACTTTATTACAGAAACTGCTGTGCATTGCTTTGTTATGCATATATTCAATCATAATTTACTAACTACAGCCATACAACTGTTGTCTAATAATGAGGAAAGCTACCTTGAGGGCTCTGAGCCCCTGCAGGCCAAAGAAAAACCTGGAATTATGACATCAAATATAATTAAGTAAATGTACAGTGTTTATTTTGCAAATAAAATAGCAGAAACATATTGGCTTATAAGGGTACCAAGGGAAATTAACAGCTATCTGCAGGCTTCCTTCTGCAAACATGTGGAATTAAGCTTAGCATTAATTGTCAGGCTTCTTACACATGAGGAGCATGGATAGCAACAATGTCAAGCATGTAAATGACTTTTTAACAGAGTAAAGGTGTTTGTAAATCAATTACCCAGGCACAAATGAGCTAACAACTCTACGAAGGAGAAATTATTTCAAATTACAATTTTCTATACAAACTTATTAAAGGAAGTTTCACAGTCCTTTTACAGTCCTATATTCATGTCTGTTAGCAAAGCATATGTATGTCTGCTGTACTGCTGATTGAACCTAACTCATTAGACTCACACAATAGCTCCTCACAAGTTTGTAATTTTACATTATACCCAGAGCCAAATCTGGACAGCTGTAGCATATCTCACTCTTTTGAGAGACAGCAAATACCCATGAGCCCAGGCTGACATTCCCAGGTTATGAAGGGTTTACAATATGATGTTACAGTACAAAGTACAAGTGTACTCAGTTACAAATAAAATCTTTGAGCCAAAGACAAACAGGGCTGGGAAGCTCTTTGCTCATGTGCCATATGAGTTTGATATCCCACAGCTAAAATCTCTCCAATTTTGCCAGTTAGTCTCATTACAGAAATGAAGCGGTTACTGAACACAGGAAAGAAAAATTATGCAGAATACTGGAGACTCCACTGAGATTTGGGAGCAGAGGCACATAACAGGAGTCAGCCTGATCACATGCTGTGACCCACCGCCATGCAGAATACCCTCTTGTAAAAGCAGCAATCTGTGGATGTGTGTGAGGCCACCCTATGCATCCAAACAGACCATCCAGAAATGGTCAATCTGGTTTAGTTATCAGTGTGAGTCCCTCTCTCAGGGAGCTGTGCTGTTTTAATCTTGAGAACAGGACAATGTTGAGAAATTAAAGGCTCACTGAATTATAAACCAGTCAATTTCTGGCCTTTTAAACAAAGTGGAAAGAGAAATTAGGGAACAGAGGGGAAAAACCCCCATAGCTGTGTTCAATTTAAGAGTGACAAACAAACCATCCCACTTAGCCTTTGCTATTTACTCTTCCCCCCACATTTTTTTTGCCTCTGAGAACAGCCCACTGTTACTCAAAAGGCACAACAGAGTTTATGTTTTGGCTCAGGCCTTGATTAAATTATTGCTGCCAGCTTCCATAGGCAAGGCAGAGAGACAACACTGTTGTTGCCTCTTCAACACTGGCAAGAAGTTCTTATCTATTAATGGCTTGGCTCTTCTGAGTAGGAAGTTGGTATAATATCCTAATCCATACAATAGCAGAAAAAAATATATTCAAGATTATTGTTTAGACAGAGGATATGCAGGATGGGGAGACAACAGTGTGGAAAGCATCACTTTAAAAACTGGTTTATGTGAAACCTGATTTGGAAATTTGAAAGGTCTCTTCAGTCAGGAATACACTTTGCCTACTTTGACCTAACTGTCCTGCATGTTCACCATGGCCAGCAGTAGCAGTTGCCAGGACCTGGAAGAGGGAAGAAAAGCCTGTGATTACCACCCCACCCAAGGAAAGCAGCATCATGGGTGAGTCTCTTCCTTACCCTTGCACTGGAGTTGAGTTTATTGCATGAAATCAAAAATCTCAGAATAGCTCAGAAAGCAAAACAACTCCCTGAGCAGAACCTAAATGTTATGCCTTCCCCACACAGCCTCTCTCCCTGTCTTAGGAGGAAGACCTACCATACCTTTAAATATCTCCTAACTCACATGGAAGAAGCAGACTCTTAACTTTTCCAGGGTGCTTTCTTCTCCCTGTCATGGCAGCATCAGTTGAAAGATGCCACCTGGGAACTGAGAACAGAGGAGGGGCACAGCCAACTCTACCACCTACTTCAAAGCTGCAGTTCCTCCAGCATCTGGAAACCCTCAGCAGCTTCCAGGCTTTACCTGAGAAGGCACACATGAAAGGAAAAGGAGAGGGAAGAGGAAGTGGGCAGTTCCATGGACAGGTTGATCTCATGAGCTGAACTCTAGCTGCTCAGAGAAGTGAAACACAGTAGCTGTCAGTGCATGGAGTTCCTATAGACCAGAGTGAGGTTTGCTGTCTGCTTTGGTATGAAACAAAACAAGTAACACCTTTAAAGTCTACAGCTGGGCACAATTCCTGTCCTGGCAGATGGAGCAGCAATCTCATCCACACTACTCAGATGGGCATTTTCTGGTACAGTCAGGCTCTTCCACAAGAGCAGCAGGACTAACTGGTGTCACAGGGGCTACAGAAATAGCATGAGCAACAAGAGGTTAGAGCTGTGCTCTCCTTAACAGCACAGACAGGCTTTTAAGTACGAAACCTGATTTCAAGCACACTTGCTCTCTCTGCAGGAGTGCCAAGAGTCTTGCAGCCAAAGTCACAGCCATAAAACAACCTTTAAGGCAATCCCCATGAGTAACTGTCAGGTGGCAGAGGCATGGCTTGAAAGGGGAGGGAAGAAGGCTGACATTCCAGCAGCATCTCACATGCTGAGGGCTTGTTTCATAACCTGAAATGCCCCTTGCTTGAAAGGTCAGGGAGCAGTAGCATAGCAGAACTACTTTGGACAAGTAGCGCCTTGTCTGGAATATTTAGCTTGGCAAGTTGAGAATTTCCTAAGCTTAAAAGAACAGTTGACTCTCAAAAATAACTCAAAAAAACAAAGGATTGGCATAGTCTTAAGAGACGTCCAATGGTTGAGTAATCTTTAAGGTGAGAAATCTGAACACCAGTCAGATATAACAGCCACATCAATTTTCATGGGAAAAAAAGCAAAAATGTATTCCTCTTTATTTTCTGCTACTACTCAAATATTCCTATTGCATTATTGCTGTCCATTGGAGTGGATTCCTCCAATATTTTGAAGGAATCTTTGCCACAGCCAGAAAGAATTAATGCACTGATTTTCCTTGACATTTATATAGCAAGAGAGAATGAAGAAGCCAGAAGGAAGAATCTTCCCCTTTTCTTTGCATTTGTGCAAAGAGTTCTTCTGGATGGAATTTCAAATCTCAGTAAAAACAATTGAACATTCCTGAAACACTTTTTAGATGAGTTAGGAGAAAAAAAAGCAACTTTCTCACATAAACAAATGGAGGTGGAAGGAGATAAAGAAAGAGTACTTTTGTTGCATTTATTGATATAAAATCAGCTATTTTGGTACTTCTACCAGAAGGGAATATTACAAATGTACTTGCTTTGACAAAAAAAATACTACCTTTTGGGAGAAGTGGGCTTAATTTGGATGTGTTCCCTTGCCTTTGGAATATCACTGCCCTGCCACAATTATCCTTCCACAAAGGTCCAGTAAAATTTTCTGCTGTTGACACTTTGCTTCACTGCCATCCCCTGCCCCTTGACAGGAGGCATTTGTAACAATGTGGTGAGGACGTGTGATCTCAGTGGGTTTGCACTGTCACTTTATACACTGACCAGATGGAAGACAGACCTCAGGCCAAACACTTCACTGGATTCCCATGCAGTACAGCAAGAAGAGGCAGTGCTGCTAACACCTGAAGCAGTGTCATAAATAAGGCCCTCAGGATACACGTGGAGCCAGAGGAATACTCTGTTTTGCTTTATTTCATTGCTTTATACACAATGTAAGTTGAATACCATCATATCTATACAGCATAGAGACCTGTTTCTACTCATCAAATTAGAAAGGGACATCGGCTGAGATGTCTGGAGGATATTGCAATGGCAATTCCCTGTCCTGACATGTGACATGACTTAAAAAATACCAGTTAACCATTAGGCCTGGTTTCCAAAACCAGTATGAAGATTCCAGGCTCCACAATTTTTCAGTAAAGCTC